CTGTGTATTCTTGCCACCTCTTCTTAATATCTTCTGCTTCTGTTAGGTCCATACCATTTCTGTCCTTTATCGAACCCATCTTTGCCTGAAATGTTCCCTTGGTATCTCTAATTTTCTTGAAGAGATCTCTAGTCTTTCCCATTCTGTTGTTTTCCTCTATTTCTTTGCATTGATCGCTGAGGAAGGCTTTCTTATCTCTCCTGGCTAATCTTTGGAACTCTGCATTCAAATGGGAATATCCTTCCTTTTTTCCTTTGCTTTAGTATTCCATAAATTATTTAGTGTTCTGTAAATGTCAATTAGATTAAATTGATTAGTAGTTTTTGTTTATTAGTTTTATTGTCTTTTCAAAGAACTGGCTTTTGATTTAAATGACTTTCCTATTATTTCTCCATTTTCCATCGTATTGATTCCCATTCTTCTCTTTATTATCTCTTTATTGTTATTTCTTCTCTTTATTATCGTGTGAGTCACACAAAGTGATTCAGTTTGTGTTTAATTTGTTATTTTTCTATCTTATCAAGATGGAAACTTAGATTATTGATTTTTAAAGTCTGTTTTCTACTCTAAAATAAACAGTTTGCACTATAAATTTCCCTATAAGCATTGCTTTAACTTCATCCCATATACTTTTGATATGTTGTTTTCTCATTAACACTCAGTTTAAAATGTTTTCTTATTTACCATAAATCATGGCTTAAAAGGTATTATTCCATTTCTAAATATTTGGGGGGACTCCAGATGTCATTTTTCATTTTTATTTTAATTTAATTTTGTATGATTTTAGTTCTTTTGTTGAGGTTTGTTTTATGTCCCAGAGCATAGACTCTTTTAGTGAATGTTCCATGTGCCCTTGAGAAGAATATGTATTATGGTGGTATTAGATTTAGTATTCCAGAAATGTCAATTAGATTAAATTGGTTCATAGTTTTGTTGAAGTCTTGTACATTTTTTTTTTATTTTCTGCCTGTTTGTTTCAGCAAATACTGAAAGATTCATGTTAAAATGTCCAACTGGAATTGTGGATTTGTTTATTTCTCCCATTAGTTTGTAAGGTTTTGCTGCATTTATTTTCAAACTTTGTTGTTAGGTGTGTAGACATTCAAGATTGTTAGATTTTATTGATGTATTGAACATTTTATCATTATCCTATATTCTTCTTTATTTCTGATGGTATTCTTTGATCCACATCTGTTTTGACTGGTACTAATCTAGCAACTCAGATTTCTTCTATTAGTGCTTGCATAGTAAATTCTGTTCATCCACTTTTCATATGTAGGTGTTTATGAACCTTAAATATGTTTCTTCTAGGCAACATGTTGTTTGATTCTCACTTCTTATGGTATCTAACAGTCTTTGGTTTTTCAAATACAATCTCTGTATGCAGGGGCTTGACAAACTTTTTCTGTAATGGGCCACACGTGGTAAATATTTCCAACTTTATAGGACATGAAGACTTTATCTCAGACAGCTATGTCTGAATCATTTGTATTTTGTAGGATTATTAAAATC